GATACTTTTCTGTCATGAAATCGAATCAGACTTTTCCATCCTCCAAAATTTCCTATCGTGATGTGCAACGATTTAAATCACGGGGTTCTTGACCCATGCGGAGTATAAAGTATCCAGACCTTGAAGAAAGATTTATTACTCTCCGATGAAACATTCTATATGCACCGGAATGGTTTACGAGCTGAAATCTGGAAAAATCTGTTTGCCAGGGAAAGACCGCACGCTTCTTTGTCCGCTCGTTACAAGTGTTAATGAACGAATAAAAGCAAGGCGACTTTTATTCCCCGAATAACATCCGGCGATGGGAAACGAACGAAAGCCTGTCTGGCCACGAAGAAGACGAAATGTTTATGCAAGAGGAGTTGGTAGGAAGAGCTGGATGCAAGCGAGGGCCAGCCTTTTATGCGTCAAACAATATCGTCCAGTTCAACGACACGTGGTGTACTGGCGCCGCTCGACACGAGGCAGACGACACAGTTCACAAAGCCCTTTCTAACCAACATTCTTCACCTTCTTTTGACCATTGTCTGAACTGACGTTGAAGTGCACACGTGGTTGTTAACAGACGCATGCCTGACGACTACCGATGCTGAAGAGACCACCTAATTGCTTCAAACTAGCTGCTCTTGGTCTGATCACCTTCCAAGAAGGTCTAACTTTTATTATTTATTTGTTAGAAATTTCTGAAGATTAAATTGATCGATTAATATTGCAACTGCGAGCTGCAATGGACGTTCAGTTAATTAATTGATCATCAGTTTGATTTTCTGAACCAAAGTCAACTGAAAGATTCAACAAGATCGAATATATGAAAAATTGTTGATCGATCACCTTATTAATTAAGATGAAACTAATTTTTATTCCAAGCTTCTACGTGAGATCCTTATAAGCCCCTCAGATCAGCAAAAGTCGTGAAATTGAAAGAATGTACTCTTGTTGGTTACGTTCTGGGAACTTGGTCTCTTGATTATCGTATTTTGTCGTACAAGACATCTATCAGTGTCCAGTGATGAGAACTGCTTAACCTTCCTATATTCACGTGATCGACAACGCGTGTCTCCGGTTCGTATGGTACAACTATATATCGTCTATCGCTCACCCCATATCCTGTATCCTGTGTCGGGATATCAGATTATCACGCGGTAAGCGTTTTTTCTGCGGCTCTGCGTTACCGCCTTCGTGTCCTTTTAGAATCGTTTTCTCATCCCATACACTTCGTACTCCATCTTTTTCTTTAATTTAAGCAAGCTCCTTTGATTCTTCAAAATTGCAACTAATAATAAAATTTAGAAAATTATTACTATAATATTTCAAATAAGCAACCCTTGGTTCTGTTCCAAATTTCAAATATCCAAAGCCTTCTGTCACTTCTTAAATCCCACAATTTATTAGTATCTACACTGCCATCGTTCCCGGTGTTAATTAATAAATTTCAAAGGCCTCGTTAAAATGCCAATAAACAAAAAAAAGTTTCGTCACTGTTTTTTTTTTTTTTAATCTCAGCAGCGAGAAGATACACGATCGACAAGATATTAAAATGATTAATATTCTGTTTGCAATTCATAGTGGAAATACTTCAGGTTCTTCGTTTCGTTTCGTATTGACGTCCAATAAATCCCTGTCACCTGTATCCGAGAGTCAAGGATTTACCTGGTGACTGAAAAGGCTCCTGAAAAGAAAGTAGCTGTAAAAAGGGTTGGTTCTTTTTTCTTTTTTACGGACGTTTAAACGGGACGTGGTTTCACGTATGGTCGTCGTCAAGGTCGTACGAGAAGAAAGGTCGTATGGGTGTTCGATGAAAAGTATTCGATTTCTTGGTTGACCACAATTTCTCGCGGCTGTAGTTGTTGGCTCCTTTATCCTTTCACGCGATGAATTTCTTGAAAGAGAACTTGCTTCCGGAAAGCCTTCGAAGAAAGCTTGATGTTGCTAATCTACCTTGAGAACATTAATTTAACGTCGGTTAATCATCCTTGATGTTCTGGCAAATTTTATTCATGAATTTATAGGACGATCCTCTTTGATCTTATCGAGTTATTGGATTGAGAAATAGGTATTTCATGCAGATTTATTCATCTTTCATTTATAGGATTATCTAATTTTTTTGGAAGATGGATTCGATGCACCGGGCGTGAAAATATTTTTGGTATTATATAAGAAAAGTTAAAAATCATATTTTTTTATTAAATTCTGATTTTAGAGTAAATTTAATCTCGTCGTGTAAAAATATGGAACAGGAAATATCATGTGTCGTTAAAATAATTCATCCATCATAAATAGGATCGAGTATTTTCAAGCCCCTTAAATTGTCCATCGATGCATATAATTTTATTGATCCGGATCGATGAACCAATAATAGAGACATTGTACCTATCACAGCCAATTGCACTCTCCGGTTTAATTGTTTTACGGTACAAGACTATTTGGTCGATACAATTATATGGACAAAAATAATTTTACGATGCTTGTATTTCAGACCTTTAGTCTGGTTAATCACTCCGTAATTTTTTCAAATTTTTCAATCATTTTGTCGTTGTACCCTGTTGTCCCAGTGTCTTTGTTCCCGTTTGCCAAGTATCGCGTGCGTAATCGGTGACGACGTTGTCCTAGGTTCACCGGGACCCTTTTTACCGGGTCGTGCATGTATCGTTATGCAATTGTACATACAATGCACGTAGTGTCGGAGCCGCAGCCGCCCACGCGTCGACATTTAGTAAGCGCGTTTAATCTCCTCGGACATGACGTAAAGTCCCTTTGTTCCTGGGACATGGTCCACGATACTGTACCGCCTCGAGTGGGACGTCAAAATTTCTCCTCTTATTATCGTTAGTTCCGTTTCAGTCAGCCTTAGGCTAAGAGGTTAACGAGTAAACCGTTTAGCAACAAACATTATCATTATCAACCCTTTAACTAAGGATTTCATTTGTATAGAGGTATCCGGAAATTATCCTAAGTAATTTTTAACCGAGCTATTATTAGCTGAAATTATTTCTATACAAATTTATTAATTTACAAATGTTTACAAATTTGTATTCATTCAAAAGCCGGAGGCATTAGGCTTCCGGGGAAATCTGTAGAGATAATACCGTACTCGAGGAAAAATAATCCCTTCGGATAAACACACGGATTATCGGCAGCCGTGCCGAAGCGGCACCGTACCTGTTCATTCCTTCGTGAGCCTTCCTTGAGTCAATACACGACTAAACGCAGTTTATTTCCAAACAGAATACGTTATATTAGTGTACGATCAACAGAAATGATTTAAAAAGGTATAGCTATTATGTAAAATACATGTGAATTGAAGTTTGTATCAGTAGCAAGTAGTATGACACGAAATAAGACGTTCGCAGTAGTACGTCTCAATAATATACGACTCTAAACGATTCGAACAGCTTCTATCGGTGTTAAATTTATTCCGAGCAAGAAGACAGAGAACATATTGCTTATTTTATTTAATGTCAGCTATTTGAAGTCGTTGATAAAGCTTACTTGGCAAATTTTAACTTGATTTTCAAGATATTTGATATTACGGACATTGCACTGTGGCTGCACCTCGATTGGATATCTGATACTCGAAAGATTTTCTATTTATACGAATTTTACTGTAGCTCAGCAGTGACGGGAATTGGTAACGATCCAATAGGTTCAAATGTTTCTTATCAACGAATCAATTAATGTCAATCTTAAATCTACTTAATTAGGTCGCAGTGAAAAGATTGTCAAAATTGTCAAGGAATTGATTTTTCAATAATTATCCCTTTTTCATTTTCTTCTTAAATAATTTAAAACGTTTCTAAGTACTCGTCCAATTCGAAATGACTCAAAGTAATTATACATATATTGTTAGTCATCAATGATCTCTGTAGAAGACAATAGTATTCCTCTTAACAATGATGTAGTAAAAATCTAAACTAGTATTTTTCCAATCCGGATACCATCGATAATTATTCAATTCCAGTATGCAATCATCCATTAAGAGCAATTAACAGCGCATACTAAATGGTACTCTGAGACAGTTCTTCGAAAAATCTTCGTAGAACACCTTGGGGTATTTCTGAAAACTTCTAAGTGTCTCTTCGTACGTATTTAATTTATACACAACACCAGTGAATCAGGCTTTAGATAAAAATGTACAAAACATTGTACAGCTCATTGGGAGTTAAAGTTCATCACAATCATTGACGCGATTGATTGTGATTTTTTCATGAAAAGGAGAAAATGTCGTTGACGTACGTGCAGATCTCGTCATTGACATTGTTGATTAAGAATTTTTTCGATTTAGGATCATAGGCCTATGCTTTGTGTTGGAAATGATCTATGATTCAGCTATTTTGCAAGATAACTTCCTTATCGAAATGGTCACGAGTGTGTAATTTAATAATTAAAATTTGCAAAATTCATCTATTGAAGATAAGACGAGTTGCAATCCTAGATAATAGTTTAATTATACCTCATCCTGAAGTGTAGGTTCAATTAATAAAAGGTTTTTATCCCATTCCAAATAAAAATATGTATGTACAGCACCTGCAACCGGAAGTCCGCGTAAACCAGACGTAATAAATCACTATCGAAGTATGTTTGTGGTCGAGGTTGATGAGATATCTGGAAAGAATTTCGATTTTTCTCTCGGAAGAAGGTCGATTAATTGATTCTAAGCAGCCAGATTGTGCAATAGTCTCGCTATTCGCACGTTTACCCATCGTCTGACTATTCTTCTTCGCGGCTATCTGTGAAAATTATTCAAACGATTAGCTTCAAGTCGATCAGTCGAAGTGCAGGGTTATCGGGAGGAATTATCGTTTAAATTTGTAACAGGGTATCTTCATGCCGGATCGAGTTTGATAAGGCAATCAGCCGTTCTCGTAGGATGTTCGATACATTGACTTATCTCGAAGACGATTAAATACTTTCATTAAAATTAATGAGCAGGCAATGAAACCGTTGATGGCCTTAAAAATTAAATTGTTCCTTACTAACCATCATACTTTCCTCTGTTACAGTGATACCTGACATAAAAAAGACTTCAAGAGAACAAAATGACATCTCGAACGATGCTTCTTCCATGCATCCTGACTTGGAGTATGTCAGTTTAAAGAAGATCAGTGAAAATCAGTATGAAGATCCTCGTAAGTTAACAAGATTATCACAAGCTATTTCTTAATAACTGATCAAACTCGAGTCTCATTTTAATATTTCAATATGTCAAGTTTAAAGTGCATTAAATGCACGCGTTTATGACAGAATAAAAAACGCATACGTTAGTAAGAAGGAAATAAAATGAGATATGAATATCAGGTTCGTGGATTATGTTACGGTTTTCATGGACGTGTTTAACGCCGACACGTGGCTTACCAGTTAATGAAACTAAATCAATTAATATTATAGGTATCATAACGATAAAACTAATCTCATTACTATTTAAGCTAGCGATAGATTTAATCTAATCTCATTAGTATCAATGTAATCATTTCTAGTTGCAATTTTATATAACGAAACCTAGCAATGGCTTTGACCGTTGCTAAAATTAAAAGCAAAATTGTAGCTATCATTAATTTTCAAAACAATTTGTACTGAATTCCTTACGATAATTCATTTCACACGTCCAAAGTTATTTATATATATTTAAAATAAATGTACGTACTATGTTCGGTATCTACGAAAACGTCTACGACACAAATATCCTAAGTATTCTGAGACTATCGTTTGGTATTTGAAACCTGTGCCTGTCCACATGTAAACATAGCGAAACAGAAATTTTCGAGAGAGAATTATACAACGTGTTTTCAAGGCTTTCACAGTATCAGAACTTCTGACACGGAGCTGGTTGAAATGCGGGTCAAACGTCGGAATAAATTTTCTCATAGATTACCATCTAAACCCGGAAGTTTCGGTCAACAAAATTATGTAACACTTTCCACGGATTGCGTGTAAAACACCGTTAGAATGATTGTCAATAAGTAAGTGGCATTGCTGCGGCATCCTTGCCTTATTGTGGGGACCAAGTAATTGCTAAGTGTCATTCGAATGATGTTGCTAGAAATTGTTGGCGGATCGTGTTTCGAGCTAATTCGAAAAAATCATAATTACCATACGTAATACTGCTAGATATCTTCTTTGGAATTTAGAATCACTTTTCTGAGTAATATACATGAATACTTGATATTCCACTGTCTCAAGTTACCAACTTGGCAACTGTTTTTAGTATTTAATATTTCAAAGTTGAACCTCGCATATTGAATAACATAATAATTACAATTTTATTATTTTTCACTATCTCTGTTTAACTTTGAAGTAACAATTGACAATTTTTTCTAAATTTAAACCACTCGATTTACAAACAATTTTACTCGCGAGTAGTTCATACCCATTGCTGAAAGAAGGTACGCGAGGCGCGCGCCAAAAATGAAAGTCAATTCAAATTAGCGCAATTAGACCACGATTCGTTCGGATAAATTCCGATGACGGAACGTGTACGAAGCGTATCGCCCAAAGAGTACCCAACCACCTTCTATCACGATCACGTTCACCTCGTTAAGCTCTCGATTGTGCCAGACGAGGCGGCCCATATAAACGCTCTACAAGAGAGGTTCCGAGCAGATAAAAAGCAGACGACCAGATATTTATAAAGGATAAGATCGTTTCGCATCGATCTGCATTCTCGATTCTCAGAAGTGTAAACGGATTCTATGTTGCATTATGAAGCCGATGGTTGAAAATGTGGCGCGAATGAGGAACGCGAAGAATTTATATATCTATTTTCTTTAAATTTTAATCTTTAATTGGATGTAACATAAGTTCCATTTTGCGACACTTTTCTCTCATGAATTTTCATCAGACTTTGGACATTTGATACTCTCGAATATTGATTAGCATTTTCAATTAAAAATATTATAAATCTTCGTGTACATAATTTTGAGTATAGATATTATGGCAAAATCTTTACCTCTGTAATTGACAAATCATCACCATCACCGCTTCTCTATCATTCTGCAAAAGTGGTAATACCTGTTTAACTTGCAATCACTGTTGCTAACTTTTGTTCACGGCAAATCCAAGGAGAAATTACTAAGGAAGAGATAACAAGTTGAAATCATGAAATAAGTATCCTCTTCTCTAAGTAACGAGATGTAAATGCTAGTGTCACTCATGCACGTAACATTTGATGAAACAGTAAGACGATTAATGCACGACAAAACGCATGTGTCGTAGTGTCGCATTAATGGCGAGCTTCGGGCTGCTTTTACCGTTCAACAGATCCTTTTTCTTTAACCACGTTCACCTATCTAATTTCTCGTCTCACCGCGAAACGTGTTTTACGGTAAAGGCTACCGTTTCATTAACTGTTCCTTGTTTGTCTGCGTATTAATTTTCACCAATTACGCCACCCTTCAATCATTTATCCTGTTAAATGAAATGTTCTTACAGAAAAATTAGCGTTACTCCTAATATCACTAACATTGCTGATTATATCACTAATTTCTCTGATTACAGCCGACGAATTTTCCACAGCGAAAAGGCACCACAGTGGTCATTTTCGTCACCGCACAGCGGAAGTATGGGATCCTCATCCCCAATACGAGTTCACTGCCTTTGGAAGAAGATTCCGTTTGCGTCTCGCCCACGATACCAGCTTCGTATCGCCAAATATCAGAGTACGTACTCTATCTTTCCCTCGAGACAGAGTGAGAGTTTTCTGAACCGCTATCGTAAAAGTGATAATTCAATCTTCTTCGATCGTCAAAGATATCGGTGTTTATTGCCGCTAATACTGTTACGTTTATCAGGGGAAAAGTTATCTTACGTTATTACTATGCTAATGCAGGCGATATTATCGCAGTCGAACAGCGTTAAGAACTTTGCATAATGTTCTCCGAGGCTGTTCATCGCGATAGACGAGGCGTTAAGAGCTGCTTTGCACCGTCATATCTTTTTTTCCTTTTTCAATTGTTTATCGTAAATATCGAGCATGCAAATTGTTGTAACAAGGTGTTATTCAATGTATTTGTAATCAGCCGGTTGATCAGTTTATCTTTTGCATAGTGAAATTCAAAAGACTAATGCAAATAAACACGTTCCACTTTTGTATCGTGGTGTTGGATGAAATTTAACATGGTTATTTCTCGTTGTTTTTGTAGATTACTCATATGACTGAGAATGGAACGAGAAAGGAGCATCCAGGCCACGAACTTGGCTGTTTTTACAGCGGAACTGTAGACGACGATCCCTCTTCCGTTGTCAGTGTCAGTCTTTGCCATGGAATGGTAAGTCGAATTTATCCCTTGATTACCAATTAATTATGAAGGGAAGAGATTAAATGATTTTATCTCTTGATTATCAGGAGATAGATTTAATTAGAGAATAGATTTAATTTAGTGCGATATAGATAGCACTGATTCTTGTCTGATTATTATTTGATTAGACTACTTTGGGCACGGTCAGTGCTCGCAATTTCTAGACAGAAGAGGATTTAGTAACTTTATCTTTCGTTAGCATCGATGATTCAGAACCTGCCTAAAATTATATGCACGCATCTATAATTAATAATAACCTGCTCGAGCAATGAAAGGGTTGAAAATAGACAAGGCAGAATGATTCAATTTTCTAATCGATCTTCGTTCGTTATTAATGTAATAGTATTTACAATGATCATTCTACCTTCTGTTTTTAATTATATGAAATCTGTAACGCCAATTACCGACCTGTTAATTAGTCAGATTGGTATGGGGACAGGCACGCGGATAATTGTAGACACGCGTATGTTTTTACAATCGCATTCCCAGCGCATTTTATAGCGAAGTCAGTAGGTGGCACACAATTCAGATTGGACATTTGCCATGGTAATGCTAGAACGAGTTTCCGGATTATCTTGGCAAACGTGCGGTAAAGTGGCGCCGAACACCTCGACCGAGTTGGGCAGAGAATCTTGATGTGGTTTTTCTTTGCCAATCAATTTCTCACGGTGTCAGATTCTCTTTAAGTCTGCTGTCTTTCCTTTTGGAGAAAGTAATTTTGAAACTCATAAATGTTATCCGATACCCCTCGTAATTACAATTAATTCATTCTCCCTTTAAAAAAGTAAAAAAAACAAAGAATCAATCTCAAAATCTCTGAAAATTCAAAGTAAATTTCTTTTTTACTTTTCAACGTCATCTACAAAATATTTTCGCGAGATCTAAAAATGATGGATCGAGCAAGAAATAAAAAATCATCTTGTTTGATTATGTTCCCTCCAGCTGCATCCGAATGCAGATTTCCTCGAAACAAAGTTGTAACGAGTAACATTTGCTGGTCGCCAGTTTACCATGAATTTCCATGGAAGGAAAATAATAAGCGAAGGCCGTCGTACAGCAATTGATTATTTACGCGTTTACTCGTGCATGTTTCTAGGACTGGAGATTTACGAGTTCCTTTAAACCTGTCTGTCCACGTTTTGACGTTTCGAGCGAGGAAAACACCGACGAACTTAGCGGTGTTTTCTTGCGACCGTTTCGTCAACATTTAAAAACCACGCGACGTTTAAAATATCGACGTTACGTGCGAAAATTGTACACAACAGTGGAGAAAATTCAATATTTTGGAAGGCCATGCGTGTTTCTGTCCGACGAAATTCCGTGATTTCATTCGTTATTGTGGAACGATTCTTGTATTGTTTTCGGGGAAATTTAGGAATAAACAGAAATCGGAAGTTCAAGACGAATGGAAATTCTAGAAATTTTATTTCTTGAAAGTATAAGAAAATTGAATTATTTTTTTTTTCAAGTTTATAAAAAACGCCAAGCAACCGGAAGCACCGATGATAATCTCAATCCATCATCCCTCATTAAACACCATTAGAAGCAATTATCAAATGTATTTATAATTAGCCAATTAAGAAGCCTCTAAACGAATAATGAAATTTCTTCTACTCTACAAAAATTTACACCGCACCCTGAAACATCTAACACAGCAATCAATGTGAGAATAATTTTCTCTTACTTCTGTTATCAATACGTGATAGGATTTAGCTCGTTAGAGACCATTTGTTATCGGGAAGGTGTCCCTTAACGAATCGATAACGAATCCACGTAACAGGATGTAAGTTTAATTGGCAGGAGGTTGTAAGCAGTGTCTCAGAAAGCGTAAGTCTACACGCTTTCCGATCGCGGTGCTGATTTATCGAGTCTCGACGGTTTCCTTGCTTTTTGCTTAACTTTTGAAAGCAGACGAACGAGAATCAAAGGTCGCGATAGAACAAGAAACGTTCGCCTTTCTGAGAACGAGTGTCCGCACGTTTTTTTCAATCATTTCCCAGACACGTTTTCATCGAGTCTTATATTTTCATTTAACTTTCGTGAACCAGAATTGTAACGTCGGGTTGCCACTGGAAATTATACAACATTCAGCTCCCCACGATTAATAATATCAATTTTCATAGCTTTTAAGAAATTTGCAAATTTCTATTATAATTAGAGTAATTAAATTTCAATTCTGATCGGTAAAATTTGCAATATTTCAATATTTTGTATTTTCAACCCCTTTGATTCAACTCTCAGTGTGTAATAGAGTCTATGTAATAATAAATTTTCCTTCAAAAGAAACGAATGGGTTTTCGCAAACGAGGTTGCACAGACTGCAACCATCGGATTTCACAGGAGTGCACATTCCCATGGTGTACGTTAAAAAAGCTTTACGGTCGTGTTTTTACGAGCATCTCGTATTCTTTCGCACGGCTATTTTCGACGCGACGCCGGGGGGCCCAGATGAATTTAATGAATGAAATTTGAACTTCCTCGCCAAGAGGTTCAACGACACGTTCCTTACTTTCATTTCGAAACTTTGCCATTCGTATTTAAGTGGCTAATTTTTGTCTAGTCGTAAAATAAAAGGCTACGAGCTGTCAACAACCCCTCTGAAATGAGGAGCTCTAAATTTTTTATTTAACCCTTTCACTCTTCTTCAAACGATTTCAATTTAATAAACAATGAAAGTAGATTGAAAGAACGAGAGAGAGGATTTTCATTGTGAAATGAACATTTTACTACAACTTCGTTTTACATTTAGGATCTTCGATATTTTTGTAAACAGCACACGGCATTTTCACTTCTTACTGCGAACACGAGCTTAAAATACTTGAAAAATAAAGTAAAGGAGAATCATCTGAAAGGAGTCCACTGACGAGTGGAAAAAGACGTAACCGTAAATCATACACTCCTGGCGTTAAATCCACAGTTTTTCGAGCGAAGTCAACCGGGATGCATTCATCGTTGACTTTTAACGCTAAGATTAACGACACTGAATAAATCAAGTTTCTTATTTCATTGACAATCAATCGAATATTAATATAAAGTATTGTTGATATCTTGGAATTTTTAAAACGTGGTAAATTCTCAGATTTTATGGAAACTGTTATTTTTCCATTCTGACATCGAACAGATATCGTTCATGGTAAAATAACTGCAAATAAGTTGAAAAATATTTCTTATTATCTGCAGAAGCTGTTAATGCAAATTTGGAGAAATCAGTGGAAATTTCTGGGTATCCTTTATTTTTTTTCGTTCCAAGCTTTTAATTTAATGATTCGCATGACACGCTATGTTGTCTTTCGATTAGTGCGATCGCTGGCTCATTCAGACAAGTCGAGGTAGTTTTTTTTTTCACCTGAACTCAAGTAGGCAGACAGACAGATAGACAGGCAAACAGACAGATTTACGATTCGTCCATGATTCAATCGGTAGAACAGTTCGCGACCATGACCGTGCCAAAGAAGCTGGCCACGTGGAACTGGGTCATACACAGTCATGGTTATTTCAAGCTCGAGGCGTCTTCTTTTCTTTCTCTGTTTTACAATTTCTTTTGCATCTAACGACAGTGTTGGCGGTGACGAAAGCTGAAAATGTGCTCGGGAAATAAATAAACGACCATAAGACAAACAAATGTGCTGTTAACCCTGTCCTTCTGCATGACATGTACATATAAAGGGTGCAGAAATAAGAGACACATTGTCCCTTGAAAAAAAATTGTGTATCAGAAACGTTATAATGAAAAATTTATAAATTATGATCATTTCTTTTTCTTTTAATTTCAAAAAATAAATCTACTTACACCCTTCAACATGTTATTGAAGAAGATTAATTAATTTGAGCCTTCAGACAGTCAATAATAAACCCATTGATAGAAATGAAGAATAAGTAAGGATAGTTATGAAATTTTAGCAACTGATTTACAATTGTTGCACAATAGAGGCTTTGCAGTGAAAGGGTTAACCCCTTTGTCTGGTACCATTGAGTCATACTCATGGTGTTTTCAATTTGCATAATGGATGAATATAGTCAAATGAATTTTTACGTAATTTCTCTAACAATGAAGCTTTGTATAAGGTGCACGTGGTCGTGAAAAGATCTTGAACCAAGGAGGTAAATACACTTGGTAGACTTATATCTGTGCACTTTGTTATTTTTAATATTCATCACTTAGAATTTTTTTAATTTCGTTTTTCTTCGTGGAACAGACCATCGATCAATAAATAAAAATGTCAAAATTAACTAATAAATGATATATTAGGAATAATCATGGTTCAAGATGAATACAAGTTTAATAAGAAAGATGGATCATGGAACATAACAACGAGTTGGATAAAGTTTTACGAGACTTTTACACCCCTCACCTGTACTGATGCGCTTGACTGAAAGTCATCAAATGCCTTTGCACATTACCCGGAAGCGCCTTGGGCGTTATGCCAAGCTTCTTCTCTCTCTGGAGATCCTAAAAAATCCTCGAGGACTCGATCGTATATCAACAGCTCCCGGATTCAACGATGGCCCCAAGATATTTCGAATCGCCTCGAACACGCAATGAAAGTATTTGAATCTCTTTGAGACACTCTTTAACGATCACAATATTATCCTCTTTGGTGCGTTTGAAAGATTAAGTTGTTTGAAAAGTTTAGAATCGTTGTGAAATTTTATTTAAATAAATCGTGTTCAGTACTTGTTAGGACATTTCTTAAAATTTTTATGAAAAAAAAATGAGAGTTTTATTTTTTGACATTTGAATCCATAGAATTCTCAGAATTCGAGTTCCATAAATCTTAAAAATTTTTCTCACTCTCGAACACCTAACAGTTCTAAAAATTCCTCAGCTCTGGAAATCTCGATCACAATCTGCAATCTTAGAATCCTTGAAGTCTTGAAATACTAAAAACTCGGAGAATCTTTAATAACTCTGAGCCCTTGAGTTCCTTGAAGGCAGTCTTAAGAATTTTAAAATCCTTAAAATGCTGAAA